TCAACTAATTCCCGAACATAATTCCTTCGGGTACAATAAGTACTAAAAAATGGTGTAGAAGTATCTTAATAGTCTGTGGTTACTTAATCAAAGTTCAAGATTTAATCTAGAAAAGTAGTAAATAAAATTAGTGGAGCTACAACCTTTCTAGGTCTGATTTCTATATCTGTTTCACGAGCGATGTTTTCCTTCACCGTTCTAAAGAAAGAAAAAAATAAAGTCTATTGGTGCATAGCCGTGGATGGAACCTACGACCTCATGGATGATAGTCGCACGCTGAAGTCACTAAACCTACACTGCTCCTAGAAATATAGTTGCGACATATGCGCTGTCCCAATACATACTATCTAACAACTAAAAAATGGACATGCTAACGGAACTGACGCCATATTAGTTAACGAAGGTTTCACTTGTTTTTTGGAGCTAACCATTTTTGTATACGACCACGCATGAGCACTTTGCTAACTTTTAAAAGCTTTAGTTTCTATTTAGATTATATCTTGAATTGTTCCATAAAGATCAGTGTTACCCAGGATCCAAGATTCTAATAGGTATATATAGTTTCTAATTTTTTTATCCTATAGGATATATCCTAGACTGTGCTTAATTAATTAATATTATATTATGTGGAAATTGTACTCGTAAATAACGCAATATTTCATGTTTTCCATTTAAAAAAAAGAGTGACGCAAAGAAAAAGAATTAAAACGGAAAAAATGAATCATAGTTTTCGAAAAACAAATGCACGAGTAAATAGCTGTAAAAAATCGAATTTGGAATTTATTTATCTATTTGTTTTTTTTTTCGTATCAGCAGCCAGTTTGTCAGGTTATCTTCCGACATTTGGCCTCTCTTTATTTCTTCCACTCGTCACGAGCTGATCTCCATTCTTCCGGCAGATCGTCTTCCCATCTCTTTATTTGACGGCCTCTTTTGAATGAAATGAATTTATTTATTTATAAATTAGTACATTTTAAAAGACTTAAAACCGTGTTCAATTATAACGATATTGTTTCTTCACCGTTTGGAAACATAATTTGGCCATATACATAATTGGCGATTCAATAATACTATATTATTGAATCGCCCAGTGCCAGATGTATCATTAATAAATTACTCTCTAAACATATAACTAAATAAACAATATTGTTTATTGACATTACTGTAATAGTTATTAATTATACTTATTAGTAAATATTAGAGACAATTCATCTTATTCATAAACATGCTTCAAATATAAAATATAACGTGTCACTTTGTAAATAAATAAAGAATGAACACTTAATGGAATTTGAAAGTGCCTAAGAAGCTTGACACTTCATTGTCAATTACAATTTGTCATTTGTCACAACAATGGAATGGTTGTAAGAAATGTTTCTTTTTTTAAAATATGCAGCCATTATTTTTAAAAACCAAAGAAATTGTTATTTTTTTTGTACTAAAACCTTTTTTATTTCTCGCGATATTTTGTAGTGTTATGTGTATTGTTGCAAGCGTGTTACGATTTGTGGTCGCCATGATTACATAATTACAAAAACACGATGTAATGACGCATAAAACTCGTATGAAACAAAACACCAACGCAAATTAAAAACTCAGGCCACATGCGGTATTTAGCTTGTCATTATGATCATAACAGGCATAATATTACATTACTAAAAATAGACGGTGTTAATCTGACAGGTTTATATTATACAAACTTTAAAAAATCAAATTTATTTATTCAATAAAACTCCCGGATAACGACCACTATTTAAGATTTAACTTGTTTAAGCTATAAAATATCTTAAGTATAATTGTTTTTTGTTATTTATAATTTATGTTAGCTGTAGGATTACGAAATAAATAAATAATGGTAACTTATTAACCAAAAAAAAACAGTGCCGCCTGTACCGAGTTCACTCAGCTGGTATGTAATTTTCAAAATAGTTACGAATAAATATACAGTTTTAAAAGCAATTAAAGTACCCACTAAAATGGGTATCTATGGGCTGGGATAACTGACCTCTTTGGGCGTCCCGGATGCTCATTTGCCCATTTTTGCCCAGTTTGTATACTGTAAAAAAATACAAATATTTATATAGAAAGTATACAAAGATAATAATAAATATGTATCAACTAGTTATTATTCTAAAAGTAGGTTCCTCATACATGGCGCGATTGTAACTATATATGATAACATGGCGTCGATAAGCCACTTTCATAACGCTTAAGGTCATAACTTATCACACAGCAGCAGCTACATATTTGCGAGATGACTTTATTAAGAAAATATTTTCTCAATATATATGTGGTAGGTACTAAAATATTATAACGAAGTTGTTATTCTTCTATAGCTAGCTTAACTGCTTTAAGGTTTTTAGTGACGTTTAAATGATTTTATATTCATTTTAATTTTAAAGCTACAAATATTACGCAAAAATTAATTATCGTATACCATAGAGAGTTGACATATTTGGTGGTGGGCTGATCAATTAAAAAAAACTGTTTTACTAGTAAAATATAAAATTGGAAGTATTACATTTTATTTTTTGTAATATACCATTTGTAATTACCACAATAATTGTCATACATTTTTGAAAAGACAGCTCGTAACATATACTATAGATTTATATGACATGGTGAAGAACCTTAATAAATACCAATTTGATCGCATTTAATATTTTAAATCACAAAGTTATAAAGTTTTTCTTTATCCGGAATGTAGTTCCCACATTCAATACGGGAAAAGGAAGGTTTATAATGACAAAAAGGAATGATGATACAAGTTAATGACTTCCTCGATCGACACTTGTCGCTTTACTCATGACTGAGGTGGGAATTGGGAATTGATGTCTGTTAATATTATCTTTTACTTTCAAAAATTTAAAATAAAATACACCTTAATGGCATTATCTGTCGAATTGGAAATTGGATGACAATTTGAATTTGGAATTAATATTATCTATGGAAAAAGAGTATTATATAGAGATATGCGTCTCAGATATACTCTGCATGTGTGATAACCATGAGTCAGCCGGAGACTCAAATTGCCGCCAATTTGTGATCTCGACGCGTCATACTCAATTGAGGAATGTCATTACACATACTGTATATCATAGTTTATAATTTTATGACTGTTTACTCTCGAGATTAGATCTTGACTGTGGCTCCACCAACACTACCTATAATAATTATGGTATTTTCTTTACGCGAGCATATAAATAAAATTTACTTTAAAAAACTCGTAAATAATACATTCAATTGAATTACACATTTTAAAGGATATTAATATTTAGAATTATCTATTAGATAAAACTGGGTAAAAAGAAAGAAAACTTTTGATTTTTACAGTCAATTCAATCCACTCAATAACAAAGAAAATTCCACCTCAAGCAGGATTCAATTAAACCTGATTGTTTTGATTACATTTATAAATAAGGAAATATTTATTTAAAAAACTAAATCCGTCTAAATATGTACACCTTTTAACTAAAACGCTGTTATGTCGTCCATAATAGACGAGAACGCTTATAAAAACAGTGCAATAAGACTATTTTATTATTTACCCATATGTAGGGTAAATCTTTAAAAGTAGGTAAATACATGAAGCGTATAATAAGGTTATAGCTCTTTGCACTTATGTGATTAGGCGTCTGGCCGTATCAAGTTGAACCCGTTTGATATGTGCGATAATCCTATTACTGACGTCGCCTTTACTTGCGATATATAGCAATTATAAAATAATATATTTATACATTAATTTATTAACTTCTTAAAAGGTTTGATTAATGAAAAACATGACGTGAATCTATGGCATGTGTCAAATGTCATCTGTCAGAGTTATACCGCCAATATATTATGCGCGGTTGTGTCGAAAAATCGAAAACGTTTTAAAATTGCGTCTAGTCTATTGAAATATAAAGTTTTTTTAACTTTTAGTACCTCTAGTTCGAATATTGGTGAATTTTTAGTTAATAAGGAAAATGTTTTGTCTTCCCAAGTATTCCAAATATCTAATGTAACTATTCACACTATTCAATTCAATAGACAATTTTTTACGTAGTAAGTACATTCTTACCTCTTGTATAAATCACCCTATTTGCGTTATTTTATCTCTATCTCTCAAATTGTGTTTACGCTGTGAGGAAACGAGCTCTCGTACTAAGGAGCAATTTCATATGAAAAAGAAATTAATATATTCACATATCGCTTATAATTCTTTGTATGTAAAGTTAATCCAACAAAATAGATTAAAACGAAGCATTGATTCCCTGCGGGGCACTCGAACAGACCTTGAGTAGTAAATAATGTAATTGGGAATGGCGCAATTACTGCGTCCCAGCTGTAGATGTACTGGATATTGTGGGAACAAATATACGATTTGCTCGTACTACAATAATAAAGACTCCTTCCTGATTTAATAAAAGCAATAAAATATAAGTATTACAACCTAATTAATCATTTTAGCAGGTATATAGAAATATGATTAACTTTATAAGATATGGCGTATTAGGTACATACGTAAATACTACATATATTTTAGCTATTTATTTTTATTGAGCTCCAAATTAGTTCAAATTTACACTATGATAAAAAGGGTTTAAATACTGAGCTGTGGCCTACCAAAAAGGTTTTTGTAAGGCTATTATTACTAAGTTTAGGTTTGGTATAAATCACAATTTCAGCAAAGTTTTGCGTTATTTTTCTTACAAATATATAACGCACACATATTTTAATTTGAATACTTTGACAAACTAATAGAAGAGTTACACAAAACATATAAAAAAATTGTCAGAAAAAATGTAAACGACACTTTCGAAACTATTTTTATTTAATCGTTAATCATAACGTGGTCATTTTTCTTTCGGATATAAATAAACTAATACGCCGTGTCAGCTTCACAATCTATTTAAGAGATCAGACAAGATTTAAATTAGCCGAGATTTAAGTCGCTCTTGGGAAAGTTTTATATTGTAATTTACGATGTTTTTAATTAATTTGATTTATCTTGTTTCAGGATGTGGTGGACTATTACTGGGAATTTTGGAAACATCCTGCCGATAGATTGGACCAAGTCCTTTTCACGGAAAATGCACATTCCAACATTAAATCTAAGTGATAAGAAGGTAATATATTAAACATGATATTGGCATTATATATTTATTTGAATTTTGTGTAGAACACAGGTCGAACGAAACGATTAAAACCTCAAAATAAACAATTTAAGTATTTCTTTATTACGTTGTTGTTTATTAATATAAAAAATGTAAAACTGAAACAGCAATACGAGTATCTATAATGTAGACAGAGAACGACAGATACAATTTTAAGTGAAGTGTTCTGAACTATAAATTACTTTAGGTAAATTTAGAAGATAATTATATAAAACTAACTACCCCCGCGAACCTTGTTTCGCCTTAATATCGCTTTTATTCAGCCTAACTTTTTAGTGGCTATATACTAACATACGGAACATTTTGCTATGAAACCTCATAGGACTGTTTGGCCTAGCAACATATTTTGCGATTCAATTTTTGTTTATATAGACTAGAATATCCAGGTTCATTACACTTTAAAGTAAAATCGATAAGTGCACTTTGGGAAACTCCAAATCAATAAGTTAAACAATGCGGCATATATCTTTCATATTGCGAGCTATGCTACCGGAGTAAGGTTGGACACACTTTAAGATACATAATTTTGAAATTGTATAATTTAAATGATAATCTTTTCTAAATAGCGTTTGCACGCATTAACAAAAGTAATGAGGTTTAAGAAACTAGCTTACTCTTGGACAAACTACTAAGTACTCTCGTACAAAACCGGCGACGCTACCTATTAAATGTAACACTGCAATAAGATGCGGACTTGACACATTATATTATTACTGTGTATGTTTTATAAATCCTTTTATACACAAGTAGGTGATACACGATTTTTGGTTTAAGAAATCCCGATATTTACCTGTACGGTACAAGCATGTGTTTATTATGCAAATTCCCCACATTGAGTACTGTTCTCACCTCTGGGCGCTCCCCAGTACTAGCTCCATCCTTGGAGTCGCTTGGCGTTCTGCCGCGCACCACCTATTTGAGGTATTTCTGAACTGACACGACTAAGGGGCTTTAAGAAAAGAGCATAGCACTTAGCATCTGGCGTTGCAGTTGTCCATGGGTGGTGGTCATCATTTTATTTAAAGTAACCCTGCAGCCTGCTCGGTCTCGTTCAAAAATTAAAGAATTTATATTGCACAGCCAAAGTAAGATCGCATGACCCCAGAACTGAAAATCGAGCTTATCCAAGATTACTTGCCGTAGCAGTATGTACATATGTACATTGTGTACATAGTAATAAACATACAAGTGACAGTTACTGTAACAATTCGTGTGACCTTACACAAAATTACGCGGCGAAATGAGTTCGGCCGTGTGCCCGTGAATCATATACTCTATTTCAGGAACGCATTATTCGACACGAAAATATTTTACGGTTTTGCAGTAAGAGGAAAACGAAAACCCGTAGACACATTGTATTGATTAAATTCATAAAGCGATCGGCCTGTTGTGGCCGATATATTTTTTTAATACACCCTACAAAGAGGCTGTCCAAGGCGTGACTTTTAATAGGTCTGCCGTCTAGAAAAACATCAAAGCGCATTATTAAAACATCTAAAAGCTTGAACCTTGTTAAAGCACAACATTAATTAACTTACTTTCAAAAACTAAAAAGACATAACGATATTACCAGTGCTTATAATATTCTTAACCTACATAAAAAAAATCAGTGGCGCTACAACCCGTATAGTTTTGGGTTTCAGCTTTCTGTATCTGTTCTTAATACATACCGTCGACTTTTTGGGTCTAAAGCAAGCCGGTTTCCTCACGATGTTTTCCTTCACTTGTTGAATGAATGTTAAATGCGCACATAGAAATAAAGTCCATTGGTGCACGGCCGGGGATCGAACCTACGTCCTCAGGGATAAGAGTCACATGCTGAAGCCACTAGGCCAACACTGCTACCTACATAGTAATAATAATAATTAAAATTTGATAAACCGAAAATTTAAATAATTTTAAAAAGTTCGGGCCCTGTGGCAGTGTACCTTTAATGCTTATAATTAAATTCCTATTTTTGGTGGTGTTCTTTTGGATCTGTAAGCCTTCAATTTCACTGCAGAGCTTCAAAAGCTAGAAAAAGTCTTTGCGACCACTTTCTTAAACCAGTCCTTAACTATTGGGGCATAATATATTTAAGTGGCACCTTTCGTAAAATTAATTAATAATTATTAGAGTAAATTAAATAGATTATTCTGTTTCTTTAACGTTTGCCAAAGAAGCTTCACTTCTGACACGTGTACTTTGTACGCACGCACTTTTATTTTTTGTATTACTTACTTTAGATTAAGATTCTATTATTTTTTTATATAACATTTGGTTATGCACTTCTTACACTATACTCATCATTTTTTTTTTGTAATTCCCTTACTAGGGTTGTCTGTAAGAGATCGCTTGTTAGCGATAAGGCCGCCCGTTGCATCCCTTATCATTTTTATGTATTGTGTTTTTTTAAGTGGAAGTGTGAATAAATAAATAAACTGCTATATTTTTATAGAACACCATGACCCCGGACGATGAGATCCATAGTTCCGAAGATGAGGCAGTAGCTTCAGATCTGGACATGCACGCGCTTATCTTGGGCGGCCTGCATCAGGACCATGAGTGTCCCGTTAAAACTGCTGATGAGGTAACGTTATTGTAAATCTATTCACGTGGGTTACACTTATGATCCAAAAATGTATTGCAGTTTTAAACTCTAAAACCTTGCCATTCTATATATATATTATATATATATTATACCTGACTTTATATTAAATATTTAATACTTTGAGTCTGCAATCCTCATTGAAATTTATATAATTTAGTCCTTGTTTACCGTGTCTATATATAACGGAAAATTTTAAAATTATGTAAAATAATTGTAAATTTATAATAATACATAACTTCAATCCGGTAAAAAAGTGTTTTCTTTAAATGTGTAAAAGTTATGTCAATAAAAGAGAATACTATGTGTCTATATAAATTTCAGGTGATCCAAGAAATAGATGATATGATGCAAGAGACTCCGTCATCTGAGGGAGACAATATAATCGAGTACAACGAAGCTTTGGAAAAGGGGAAAGAAGTTCTCAACTCTCCTCTTTATGAAGACAGTGAGTAGTTAATTTAATTGATTCATTTGTTTCTGCCAAACGTTGCCAGTCAATCAACGCAAGATTACTAATCTTATAGTTATCTGAAATCTTATAGTTTTCACTTGAAATTTGTGTATTCCGTCCAGTCGAACCACTGGCCAAAGGCCCCAGTGGCTAAGATCGAGAAGTTGTTGACTTTAGGGGCCGTTCAAGTATTACGTAAACACTATAGGAAAGGGGGTTTTTGATTTTCTTATTTGAAGATTTCGTCTACACTCTACAGTAATTATTTACTTTTTTACACATATTACCCACACATTGTCTAAGCTTGGAAACGAAATGCATTTTCGAGGATACCTACAAAAAATTAATACGTTTATGTACTATTATTTTTGAGAGGTTTGCTTACTTTTGCTGACAAGAGGAGGGTGGGGGGAGGGAATAAATTGCAGTAAATCTGCTTACGTAATACTTGAACGGCCCCTTAGCGGCTGAAATAAGCGTTAGCGCGTTTAAAAGTATTATAACATCGTATTGATTTGTAGTCGAGGATTATAGGTGTCGCTAGTATCCCTGCGCATTACAATGCTTACGGCCCTTCAAGGTTATGTAATTGATAGATAATATACGGGACTATTCCGTAAATATGTTATTATTGTCTGTAATTAATATCTTGATCGCGTCCATGCGTCGGGTTGTCTCTCTCCCTAAAATATGGCGAGGGGGCCGATGGCTGGCCATGCGTCATACTCGTGAACGGGTGCTACTTGTGGTGACTGGTCGTACTTGAATTCGTGTATGCGGCGAAATAATTAAATTTCGACTATGTGTTTGCGTGTTGTTCCCACGAGAATGTAAGTGCGTGCTCCTATTTCACCATGCCTCCTGCTGATACGGGACAAGTCTTTGTTTTTATTTATGTTATTATTATTAATTACTTAAAATGTCATGTGGAACATGGTGTAATGGTTGCAGCTCCTTACAAACGTTGTAAAAAAAAAAAAAACATGGCGATTAAAAAGAGTGGCGGAGAGTTTATTGCCAGTTCTTCTCTTCCGTTCTACGCCCTTGATTTGAGAACTGGCAGTAAATGTAAAATTAGAAGCATTAATATTTATTTCTTTAATGACGAATCACAATTGTACATTGTGTTACCTACGTGAATAAATGATTTTTGAATTTGAATTTGATTTTGATATTGTCCTTATCACTGTTTTAATTGCTTTGTTTTGTTCCATTAGTTTTTTCTAAATAACTATTATGTCTTATGTATGTTTGCACTTTGACAGACAGACATGACATTTATTACTAACGAAACAAACACACAAAATAATAATCAAAAAAGAAAAATAACAAAAAAATTATCGAAAGAAAAAAAACTAATAAGGTACATTTTAGTGTGTGTGTTGTGGTAGTAACTGGCCCTGGCTCATCATTATGCTGTGCAGCAGACGTGTTCCACAGCGCTGGTCATCCTGCCAAAGACTACATAAATTCGTTTATTATTTTTTTTCTCACAGTGGTTGCCTGGAAGAGATCGCTCGAAATCGATAAGGCCGCCAGTTATCCTCCTATTTATTTAATTATGTCAATTGTATTATATTTCTGTATGCAACGAAGTGTTCATAAATAAATAAATAACTTATTCAGAATATCCGTGTTTGGTGCGTAAACCAAACACAATTAGTACTAAGTTGGAAGGTAGGAGCCGAGAAAACGCCAAACCATATTAGCCATGCCACGAAATTATATTACTATTATTACGAATTGGTGCCAAAATGTCTTACCTGTGATTAGTGCTTTCCTAAACCAATGTTACCTTTCCCTGATTTTATAAGTGACAAATACTTAGCAAAAGCAAATACCGTTTATAATTATAACCTGTTGAAATGATATAAATTTTACTTAAAAAATTGTGAATAACTTCGAAGTTGTAGCGTTTTAGAGACGACATCCGCCAATCAAGTCGTCTTCTAAACCACTCAGACACTGACTGTCTAGACATGGTTAGGTGTTGCATGTATTGCGAGTCTAATCTGAAGCAAAATCTGGTTATACTTAGTTCCCTTATTTATATAGCCAAGGTGGAAATTTATTTACGCTGCAAAAGAGTTTACTTCCTCAAAAGACCGTTACGAAGTTACGTACCGACTAAAATACCATGGGCTGTGGTGACTGCAGATTATGGCCGTCCCGTATAATCGTTTGCCCCTGTTTCTTATTTTCAAAGTCAAAGTCAAAATAACTTTATTCATTATAAACAAGTACACTTATGAACGTCAGAGAAGAAGTTAAATTAATTATAAATTTACAAGTCAAGGGTGTAGAGCGGGCAAGACGAACTGGCATGAAACTCTCCGCCACTCTTTTTAATCGCTATGTTTTGAGTCATACAAATTTTAAATAATAGGGCACAGAAGAATGTGCCCTTTAATATTTACTATTGAACCCTAAAACGTAGTAACCACCAGGATCGCTTATTATTATCGATTCTCATTATCAAATGTAACACACAAATTAGTGAACTGCATGGAGTTAATTGGGGGCTTGTCGCGTTGTAGGATTACGATTTATATGTATTATATTATTAGATACACACATCCTATATATTTTGGTCTCACGCTACTGCGGAATTTACCTCATAGTATAGAACAATGGCCGTAAACCTTTCTTGTGGGAAAACAAATATAATACATTCATGGGGCAGATGCATTTTGAAGTTATAGTTCTTTTGGCGCGTTAGGGAAAATGATGAGACTAAATTTTTACGATGCGCGCGCACACCGTCACAAAAAACCGACACCCTGTATAGTCAACATTTTAGAATAAAAATGGCCATTTCTTTAATTATGTAGAAATATTTTTTTGTGATATTTAAATCAACTTTATTTAACTAGATAATGCGTTATAATAAAACTTTCAATGTATTAAAAAGGTACCTTTAGTTAGTGTCGATTTTTCTACGAACGTAGAATAAGGCAAAAGATAAAAAAATTTAAAAGATTTTTATCTTGTTACGCCAAAGAAGTATAATTTCTAACGCGTGTACATAAGTACACACACATGATTTTTTTAAAATTTATTTCGCTTTTTTCTCTAAAACACATTTCTAAATTACTTATATAATCTGTATATATATAATCCCTCAATAAAAAAAATCGTACACCAAATGAAATATTCAAAAAAAGAACATTGGTGAACAAGTCGGACATTCGTAATAACAAAGAAACCATAGAAACCACGGCTATAACATTATGCGCTGTAGCGTATTTTACGTAATATTCTAACTGAATACAAAAAGCATCTTAACATCGGTAGTTAAAAGCCATAACGAACTGGTACGTGACCATGTAGCTCGTAACGAGATGAACAACACAGATTCGGGTCGAATTATCAATCATCTGCGCGACGCTGCATCGATCATGACGTGATATATGGTCCTTTAATAATAAAATAAATTAGTTTGCCGAAGAAGTTTCACTTCTGACATTTGTACTTTGTACGCACGCATTTTTTGTTTTGAGGGATTTTGTTGGTAGTATTTGAGGTATATTGTAGAACACCAACCTTTAAAATGCTAGTGACTGTCTCGACTTGAAAAAATGAAACTCACACATTTATACGGATTGTGTAATTCGATATCTTTAGCTAGAAGACGGGCACGCTACACTATAAACTTTATCACTTGCTCAGCACGTCATGAAACATGAGATACTGATTTCTTTGAATTCAATTTACTATACGAACTTCTAAGGAGACATATATTGAACCGCACAGAATAACTTTGTTAAGAACGTGTTAATATTAGTTTAATTATTATAGACGTTTTTTTTAATAGGGGGCAGAAGGCCGACCTGATGTTTAGTGATTACCAGTACGAATTATGTTTGATACTTGATAAACTAAATCACTATATAGTAATGTATTTTTAATGTCCCATTTGATTGACATATTATATTTAATACAGTTGATAAAAAAGGAAAGCTTAAAAATAATTAAAGCGTACTATTTGCCTAGTGGTTTCACCGTGCGACTGTTATTGCTGAGTAGGTTCTCTAATTGACTATATGTCCATGTGCGTTAATACTTGCGCGTAAAGAAAAAAAACTTGAGAAAACCGGAATGTCGTAGACCCAAAAAGTTGTCAGACACAAAACGCTGATCCATTTCCTTTAATCGAAAAAACAAATGACGAATCTGATACACAAATCTGAGGCCCAGACCAAAAAGGTTGTAGCCCTACTGATTTTATATATGCAAACTTCGAGAAATCAATAATTTTCAAATAAAATGTTTTGAAGAGATATTGTGTTAAATTACGAATACG